TAAGGCCTTTCGTCACAAAAACCGAACATAATTGCATGAAGCATTTCGTAAGGATTCAGCGTTTGTTGGATTCAGGACGCAATTTTGATTCGGTACCTGTTTTTTCATTGGATTTTATTTCGATTGTTGCGGATTCCAGATTTGCCCCCTCCCTTATTGCTTCACACTTCACCTATCGTAAGAAACAATTTTTTCCCTTTCTCAAATAGATATACACTTTTGCTTATAATTCTGATGATTTAATTCAATTTTTAAATAAAGTAAATAAAACACAATTTTAATACAATTTTCTTCTGCTATAGGCTTTTTGACTTAATCTGAGTTGAGGCGGCACAACAACAATTTTATTTACAAATAACGTCGATCATAATAACTTAAAATTAGCTAATCTGAAAACGAAGAAGAATATAGTGTTTGACATAAGGATGTGAATATCCCCATTTGTCATTGTCCAAAATATCTGTACAAATCCGTAAACTAAATAACTATAACCTTTTTAATTAATTATGCACAATGTTTTTGCTCTTTACTGCAGGTTTTTTAAGCAGAACAAGTACTTGTCGACGGCTCCTTGCTTTTGATCTTGCCCCTTAGAGCCAGTCCTCGTACTTTCCGTTCACAAGATTCATCTTCTTCAACAGCTCCGTCTCCAAGAGATATCTCTCTCCGTCCACGACAGATTAACTCTTTCAAATGACGACGAAACCGACTACTGTGAAAACAATAAATCACGGGGTTAACGGCTGAGTTGACACTCACCATGGCAACAGACACGGGGTACGCAATGTTGCCCTCCACAAGGGCGGGGCTGTAGGCACTCGTGGTGTAAATGCAGAGTTCAGGGATCCAACACAATGTGTACACAGTACTAACGATWAGCACTATCTTKGTGACTTTYTGGCGGTTTTTCATCACAGCAAGTTGAGWAAAGCCGGTGAAGGAAGGGTTTCTTTTTGGTTTAAGCCACAAACTGTAGACAACTCTTGAATACAAGAYAAACATGGTACCCACAGGAATCAGTCCGACGACAAGCAGACACAAWGCGCTGTAGACTTTGGGGGAATGCTCGTGTGGCCATTTTGCCAGACAAAATCCCATATCTTCGTTGTATCTCTGGAAAGCAAATCCAATCGCATTCCAAACCAAAGCAAGAATCCAACATAGTGGAACCAAAAGTTTAAGTTTCTGATTTGTGATTCTTCGTCTGACGTCACTTGGCTTTGCAATAGCAAAGAACCTCTCTATAGCGATAGCAACCAGGAAGAAAGCAGACGTGTACCCCCCTGACCAAGCCAGCGTTCCTCCTGTGACGAAAGTGCACAGAACATCTCCTGATACACCAGTTGGGTGTGTGAAAGTTCCTTTAAAGATGTACAAAGGCGTGAAGAAAACCAGTAACATCATGTCTGAGATGGCAAGGTTAACRAGAAGGTAGTTCATKGGTGTTCGCATGGGTTTGTTGAGGAGGACGACGAGGCAAACCAAGATGTTTCCTGTCACACCAACTATTGTCACGAAAGAAAATGCAACGCGGATGAAGATGTCTTCAGCTGGAGTCATGGTTCAACCTAAAAAAACGCGCAAAGATTTAAAATTTTATGGATCCGGCGGGAGTTTTGGTTGTTAACTCTTGTCTGGGAAAGTTATTCACTGGATCTGAAATCAACAGCAGTTCACATCATCATTGGAGGAAGACTGTCGATTCTCTCTCGTTCATCAAGAATGAAAATAAAAGGAATGTTTTACTCGATTTTTTTGATAAGTATTTTAGTTTGTTTTTTTTCGGTGACCTGCTGCATATAAAAAGAAAGATTGAATTTCGATTCAGAACTGCTGACTTGTCGTTGCACATTGAAGAGAATGAAAATAAAAGAAGTGTTTTCACTTTGTCAAACACTGAACTTTCAAGATGATAAATGTTTTTGAAATGATAAATTGTATTTTAATGATGAATTCGATCTTTCAAAATATRCTATTCAACAAAAGCAAGCAAAACGTCACTAGAACAGTGATTTCATTTTATAACTGTGAAACATTTCCGAGAATTGTTATGACTACTCATGGATCTATTGTTTTCTTTTGTTCTTTAGCAAGGAATACTTCCTCTGCATGATCTTGCACGCAAGATTAATTGAAAACAGCTGGGCAAAATATATAATTAAATTATTTTTAAGCTCTTGACTGTGGATTATCATCAAATTAGAACGATTATTGATTGACTGGCGATTGATRATTATATTAATCAAACCAGGAAATAACAGATATGACTAGCAGTTATGCGATGTAAACATTACAGCTTACAATCTCGAGACACGTAAATTCGTCAGAAATAAAAGTAAATCAGAGGAGCAATAACATTTTCGATATCCACAAATGTACAAAAGTCACATCTACAAGGGGATATATAGCTATTTTACCTACTGTTATCTTTGCGAAACTTCAGTTCGTTTTGAGCAGCTCTTATCGATTGACATAAACAGCAACAATTCCCTATTTCTGTCGACACAAATATTACAGTTTCAATTTCAGTTGTCTTTCATTCGTTGTGATACTAAGAAATTGCTGTGGACAGGTGACTGGTACCCAAAATAGTATGACATATGATATATTTTCATAAATCATGGTATAACATAGTAGTACTAAGAAATCGAGCCCCCTCCGCAGACATCGTTGGCTTTCTTGCCGCCCCTCTCTCTACTCTTGGGCTTCCTTTCTACCTTATATGACCGAGGGAGACTGTAATTCGGCTGAGTTCTTAATTTCTTGGGATAAGAGGGCCATATGGATACCATAGAGATCAAATGCGCAAAAATGAACAGTGCGCAAAGGAGGCTCTAGAAAATGATTTGAAATGAGTTTCGCTTTGTGAAGACAATGGTATTTTAAGCGGAAAAAATTAAAATATACATATTCAAAGTTGATGTACGCTATGATGGATCAAGATGTATAAATAATCGTCCTTAGCTCAAAGTGAGTTGTTGTCATAGTTACCATAACTGTCATCACCATTATCACCGTTATCATCATTACGTTGTTACACTGTCTGTAGAGCCCAGTCCCTTTGTTATCCTTCCAATGAACGGTCAAAAGACGCGGAAGCGGAACTTTGTTTACAATCACAGGATGCAAAACGAAAATTAACATCAAATTCACACATTAAGATAAAGATACTCGTAAAATAAACTGTTCAACCGATGCTATGGTATTTCTCATCGAAGAAGTGGGTATGTAAAGGAATTGCACACTCATCGTCACTCAATGTATAGCAGCTAAATGCTTTATACAAAAACATCATATATTTATATTAACATAATATCTTAATACAACGAAGTCTCACAATATAATATGGCATYACTATTAGAATTACTCGTCAAACCTGTTTAATCCAAGTTATTAATGATGATTTATACGATTTCTCCAAACTAGATTTTGAAGGTCGTTCGTCGAGGTATTGTTCATGTCGGTAATGTTTAATAGTCTTCACCGGTTTCCACTTAAGAAASTACTTTCAGTGACTAAATTAAGAACTTACTGAAAATCATTCGCAAATGACGTCATTTGTATATCTGTACTCTTTAGTTTATAGATCAAATGTACATTTGTTGAAATTGTTTATCAATTTAATATTTGGTTAATAAATTTTCTCATTCGACTTCCGTACGATGTCTTATCATACTTCTGTCATAATTACACCTTAGATACACCTATTTCGGTTCCGACGTAGTACTGATTATACGAACCGCGTTGTAAGAATTCTTTCTTTCTTTTTAATTTACAGGGATGATATTCGTACAACAGTGATATAGTACAAAGTGTACTATTTAATTTTCACTTATAACTTTTATTATATCATTTGTAATATTTTCTTTGATTATCTATTCAATACATGTTATTTTGTGAAGGCTTATGAGTATTGGGGATGACAAACATTCACGGTGCAGAGCGCAATTTCAGTTTCTGAGAGACATTGCTCTCTGAAGCTGTCCTCACACGCCGAACATAACCAATTAATTTTGTGGTTGATTTAACAAGGTTATTTTCTATATTATAACTTTAAACCACACTGAAAACAATTAACACTAATCTGATTTAAAATAATTTCAGTTTAAAGGAAAGAATGATGACTCCAGCTGAAGAYATCTTCATCCGMGTTGCATTTTCKTTCGTGACAATAGTTGGTGTGACAGGAAACATCTTGGTTTGTCTCGTCGTCCTTCTCAACAAACCCATGCGAACACCCATGAACTACCTCCTAGTTAACCTTGCCATCTCAGACATGATGTTACTTGTGTTCTTCACGCCATTGTTCATCTTCAGAGGAACTTTCACGCACCCAACTGGTGTATCAGGAGATGTTCTGTGCACTTTTGTCACAGGGGGAACGCTGGCTTGGTCAGGTGGGTACACGTCTGCTTTCTTCCTGGTTGCTATCGCTGTAGAGAGGTTCTTTGCTATTGCAAAACCAAGTGATATCAGACGAAGAATCACAATGCAGAAACTAAAATTCGTGGTTTCTCTTTGYTGGTTTTTGGCACTGGGTTGGAATGCAGTAGGTTTCGCAGTTCAAAGATACAATAATGATGCTGGTTTTTGCATGGAAAAGTGGCCATACCAAYATTCYCCCAAAGTCTACAGCGCWTTGTGTCTGCTTGTCGTCGGACTGATTCCTGTGGGTACCATGTTTRTCTTGTATTCAAGAGTTGTCTACAGTTTGTGGCTTAAACCAAAAAGAAACCCTTCCTTCACCGGCTTTWCTCAACTTGCTGTGATGAAAAACCGCCARAAAGTCACMAAGATAGTGCTWATCGTTAGTACTGTGTACACATTGTGTTGGATCCCTGAACTCTGCATTTACACCACGAGTGCCTACAGCCCCGCCCTTGTGGAGGGCAACATTGCGTACCCCGTGTCTGTTGCCATGGTGAGTGTCAACTCAGCCGTTAACCCCGTGATTTATTGTTTTCAYAGTAGTCGGTTTCGTCGTCATTTGAAAGCGTTAATTTGTCGTGGACGGTTGAGATCGATATCTCTTGGTGATGCAGTAGTTAATGAAAGAGAGCGTGAAGACAAATTACATGTGAATTTACAATTAGCTGTTATTGAAGGATCTRGCACGATGCTGCATTCAATGGAATTGCACTCAGGTTAACCATTGAGAGAGACATTTGTGTCAGTTTTTAATGATTGGCATTTAGTGCTACCTACAGAATTACACTAAACGCAATTTATTTTATGTGGTCATTTTTCACATCACATAAATGCTAAATAGCGCGCGGGACGGCAATGACTTTTTTCTAGGAATTTGATTAATGTTGAGTTGAATTCCAAAATTATGTAGATRGCTAGAATAATGAAGTACATAGYAACATCCCCTTTTCCTCTCCCACTCCTCCTGCATCTCCTTTTCCCTCTTTCTCTATACCCCCTTACCCCTGTTCACAAATGTAAAATACGCACATCGAAAGGTACGTACTGTATACAGAGATATTAGATTATGTATAACAAAAAGATTTTATTTATCAAATTGAACTTKAGTTACCTGCTCATTAATATATATTATCATTAATTACACAATAGCCGGTTAGAAATGAAAATATGATGACTGCAGTGGTATAATTAGTCAAAAACGCGACACAGTTCCTGGRAATAAAACTTTTTTGAACGTTTGATTTGTGGTTATTTAAACGTGAATGATCACATAATGTCAATCGTAAAAGAGCACTTGCAGTTTGCGATTAAAAGAGTTAATGTGCCTTATCCGRTTATCAAAATCAAAAGACTATGGAGTGAATATGACTACCAATACTTAGGCGTCAAGGCGCGCGATGAATCGTCACATGGATCAGGCAGGAGATGTCGCCGAGCCCCCTACCGCGTGCTGCCCAGTGTAGTTTCACAGTCAAAACTAGGGGACGCGCACAGATATATCGATAGTAGCTAGCCCATGACCGAGGACAAAATAGCTTTATTTATAAGTATCCTGTGACTCTCCGAATATGAAGAAATTGTCGTGAGGGTTCGACAATGGTTACTTTTGATTTCCTTTACCTAGATTTTGTCATTTAATTTGAATTTGAGTGCGCTATATAGAGCGTCAGTGAGCATGCRCACTATAAGTATTGCTATCTGACGTCATTAACGCGCGCAATTACAACACTCAAATTACGTAATACATGACATCATAATGCGCGCTATGATGTCACAATTGGMYAACTGCTACTGAAGAGATTTCAAGTTTCTAGGCAGTTAGTCATCAGCTTGCGTTGAAATTAAGTTGGCTTGATTTTCTACTCGAGTTGTCGATGGAGACCCAGTATCCTTGAGCCTGTAGCTATCAGCATTTCCACACTTCAACAGCTTCTGTAAATGGCAGCGAAACCTTTGGCTATGAAAGCAGTAAATCAGAGGATTCGCTGCAGAATTAATGCAGAGTATTGCCACAGTTATAGCAAAGGACTTGGTTCCTTGGATTACACCAGGTTTGTATGTTTTGAGTACAAATAGRAACAGCTCTGGTAACCAGCAGACCGCGTARAGAAGACTGACTGACAAGACAATTTTTGTCACCTTTTGACGATTTTTTAATGCTGCAATCTGAGTGCAGGAGTCGGGAGACTTGTTTGTCTTAAACCAAAGAGAATAGACCACTTTTGAGTAAAGCAGAAACATGATAGTGACGGGTAAAACGCCGACAAAGAAGAACGATAATAGTTTGTACGCCTTGCGTGCATCGTTGTATCGCCATTTTCCTTTACATCTTCCCAGTTGCGAATTGAAGTGCCTCGTTTTAAAGCCAATGCTATTCCATGCTAGAGCCAACAACCAGCAAGACAGGGCTATTATTTTTACTTTCGTTATTGTAATTCTCCGCTGGATATCTTGGGGACGAGTGACAGCAAAAAATCTTTCTACTGCTATCGCAACGAGGAAGAAGGAAGATGCGTATCCTCCAGTCCACGCAAAGACGCTCACAACTTTGCATGAAATGTCATCGAGCGAGTGATGAAAGACAAAATGCATAGTTAAGAAAACCAGTAACATCATGTCAGAGATGGCAAGGTTAACGAGGAGGTAGTTCATGGGTGTTCGCATGGGTTTGTTGAGAAGRACGACGAGACAAACCAAGATGTTTCCAACGACGCCAATTGATGAAATGAAAGAGAACACAACGTCCAGCGCAATATCTCCAGTCGTAGCCATTTTCACTTCATCTTCAAAGAAAACAAATTATGTTGCAAATTAGTTTAAGATATCGAACCTGGAAAATTATTAGGACTGAATATTCAAAAATGCAAAGAACTTAAGTGCATATAATATAAAAAATCCGATTAAAAGAAGTACATTCGGTACCGTCTTAAAAAGGATTAATATATAACGTTTTTACTTTCAAAAGCAGAGCTGTTTACGTAACATAGAGCATCTTTGAGGTCTTAGCAATTTCTTGCAAATATATCTAAAACTATTTTCGATTTCATTGTATTCAAAAAAGATATTTACACTTTATCAAAAACCAAGCATACAGTAAGTAGTTAGAGCCAGTTGGATGAGCTTTTCTTCATTGACTTGAACTAAATACGTCGGACGATATTAGTTGTTCACTGAATTAAGAAGCAGTCGCGTCAAGACGATGGGAATTCAACTTTGGTGACCAGATGTTCACATAATTGCTACGTCCTATCTTTATCAACTGAAATTTGAATATATATAAGGCATTTTCGCTGGCTGGTGTTCATTTTCTATGGTTAATTCTATTGATTGAATGACCGACTGCGGACTGATTGATTGAACCAGTACTGATCGAAATGCATTATTGGTCTGCGTATTGCCGCTGCTATGAAGGAATTTGACTGTTTCGTGTAGTCTGTACCAGTTCAGTACTGCTCAGTGACTCAATTTAGTTCTTAGAAAATAGGCCATTTGCATGATGGCGTAACTTTACTACAACTACCAGAAAGCCTTGCGCATTTTCTTTGTTATTCAGATTTTTAATCCCCTTAGCGATTAGTAAAACAATTGGCACTAATTGCATTACAAAAGAAAGTGGGCAAAGCATTCTGGTAGTTGTAGTAAATGACGCCATAATGCAAATCGCCTATTATCATATTGTTCCAGAATACCAGCGCCATTATTGAAAGGTAGTAGCCAAGCCCTTGCATCAAAGTGAGTCAGGAATTGAGCCCGCGGTGATAGCAACCATTGTAAGTTCAATTGCTGTCTCGCTTTGATGTAAAGGCTCGGCTACCTTTCAAGATAGCGCTACAGGGAACTGTCAAAATGAAGTATTGTCTTTAATTTTGCGACGCCACTTCCCGAAAGTTTATAAATTGTACTGTGTGTTTCAAATCTTTGACCATCTCACCTTTCTAAGCACTTTAAACGCTAATATAAGAGTTTTCARCCATCTGWAATTCGTTTTRTGGTGATATTTGGATACTAGAAGTATTTTGGTGTAAATCATAACAATAACAGAGGCGCGCAAAGCATAATGATGCAAACTGGGCCTTTGACCGCGTTTAATAATTCATGTAAGCAATATAACGAATATAGTAACGGTTCTTAGCGAACTCATGCATGCATGATAAAAAGTGTGAAAGTTAGATTATAATCATGTGTTGCTGACCTAATAATAGCAAGCCGATGAACTGTATTTGTTAATTTTCCACAAATAAAATAACATAAATTCAAAAACTCGAATAATCTAAAGCATCAACAACAAAATCTTATTATTGAGTAACAGTGATACCTGCTTAGCGTATAGTTTTAGTGAATTCCCTTGCTGTAAGTCCGTCCTAAACTTGTGGAACTGAATATTTCTCCGCGGTCTTAAATCTTACTGGTCACCAAAATAGTTATTGTGTTTAGGCTGTTGCGGTTGAAATGCAATAACTATGAGATAGCTAGTTTCCAAACCCGCAAGTTGAAAACAGCATGCTTTTTATAGTAATTTGGCTTTCACTTGTCTAATAGCTCTAGCTACTGCGAAACATTCGGAATGCCAAAACAATTATATTATGCATACTGAATTTAGCCAATCAGCGTAGAGATCAAAGTCATCAAAAAAGAAAGTTTACGCGTATGTAAACGGAAATCATTAGAATGTATCATTAGAAGCGAGTATAGACTAAATTAAACTCGAAAAACATGTGACAATGAAATATGCTTTGCCTCTAGTCTTTGACGGACGAAAACATAAACAATATTTTGGCTCGTTTGGTTTGGTGGAAATTTATGCATTTTTTGATCGGAAGAAATATCGATGCAATGATTCTCTGCGTCAGTTTGAATTCTATTGTACTCTAGGTAGCTCAATTAACCCGATTAGGTATATTAAAAAACCCCACACACATAATTTAAGTTGTCTTTAAAGTAAACTGTCCCTGATATATCCACGAAGAAACGAAATCTAGTATAGAAATAACTCATGATAATGGCAAAAAAATGATAATTGAAGAATAAAATAGATACTAAATTTAATAGGTAGACAGGGTAAACATACGTTAACATAATCAATTCTAGATATCTGTTTATTTCTAAAAGTCTTGTTTACACTTGCGATTTTTGCCGAGCGATTTTCGCGGCAATCGTCGCGTGATTGTCGACTGAGTTTCGATGCTTGAAAATTGGCTGCTACTTCGCTGCGATTTTCCCTCGCTGCAACAATCGCAGGGCTGTTTTTATACGTACGATTTTAGTTGCGCTATGGCAAAGTGGCGATTATCGCGCTGTAAATAAGAATGGCAAGTGTAAACGGGCCTTAGACTTACCTAGTATATTTCTGTTGTTAAAGACGCGACTGCTCTAGAATTTTTCGCTTTTTGCACTTGTTACAATCAATATCAATTTCTAGTGATTAAATTCAAATGGATTTCCTATACACCTATTTAACAGCACGTTTATAGTCTGCAAGGCGACCAGTGATGCTATCGTTGGTAAATAGCAATATACCAGATAGGAATTTGTGATATATATTGAAAAAAATACTTTCGACGGACTCACAACAGGGACAAAATCCGCAAATATTTAAAATGAGTTCTCTGCCAAAAAAGACAAAACCTCAATTCGTATCATGCTGTTTTACTAGTATGGGAACATGTTCTGTGTATAACTAATAAAATTGAGTCCACTGAAAAACCGCATGTAGTAGTTAATTTATGACTCAATAGGGATATTGTTATGGTTAGTGTTTCTTGTAAGAATTCGATCAACTAACCGCCATAAAGTAATGACAATTCATGTTGCTTTATTTATTTATTTTTTATTTTTTGGAATTGGCCATTTAAAAAAAGACGTTTTTGTGGGCATGGACTACGATAACTTGTGTTAGGATGGAGGGATTGGAAAGGAAATGTTTTGAATATTATAACATTCGTACCAAACTCCCTTGGCCCAAACAGTACGAGAACTATAATTTATCTCCACCACTCCCCCCCCCCCCCCCCCCCCCCCTCCCTCCCCTACTGCGCTCTCTCTTTCTCTTACCTTTATCGACTTCTGTGTATGGTCGTCTAGCTTAATGACGTAATGCATGTTTTCCCGAAGTGCACCATGGTAAAAGCATATCAAGATGGCGGATATCTTGAAAAAGCTTCTTCGCCACTTTTACGATATTAGAAGTTAAGAATAATTTGAAAGAGATTTACATCAGATGCCTATGTCAAAAGACGTGTCTGTTAAAGAACTAATGCTTGTTTTCCGCGAAAAAAAGCCTGTTACCCGAACGAAAAACAGCAACATGGCACAGGTTTGAACTTTTGTCAATCCCATGATGCATTTGGCCCACATCATTGGGTGTAAAGAAAAATTCAATTCTAAAAACAAATATTTTTAATGCTTTTATTTATCATTGATTTTATAAATTTCCTTTGAGTTATGCGCTATTTTCTAAGGCTAGTATATATATATTTATATCTTAATTTGTGCCACTCGCCCCATTTAAAGCTGAAACCGAGAGCTTGTCAAATCAACCAAGCTAGGCAATCGCTCTCGTCTTTACTGAATATTTCTTAGCAAATAAAATAAAATGCTTAAGCTCAAAAACCGACACACGTCAAGTTTATTTGTCTAAATACTGATGATAAGCAAGCTAGTTTACTTAAAGGTGATATAGATTATATTAATAGCATATTTTACTTTCTTGAATTGACATTTACAGTTTATTTAAGGAAATGTATTACCATATATCAACATGTAGCCTTGAATGGAATCTTTACAATGTGTTTTGTAGACCTGTATAATGATATATTATCGTTGTTCGGGTTGATATTTATATTTGTAGCGTTTGGCGTACTTAGATAGTAATTGCCTCATAAGTAGTTCATTTTCAAGTGCACTATGGTCAGTGGAATCTAAAATGTAATGAAAAGATCAAAAGTAAAGAATTTATTATAGATTAATATCAATTATTATCAATAAAACTAATAAAGACTAATAAGTCGTTCTTATTAATAGTGTTAACAGTTTTCTATGCCTTCTTGAAAGGCAGTATTAGTGCCGGTTTTACATTGCAGTTGAACTCCAAGACAAAATCTTTGGGTGCGGTCGGTACTATATGAACTGCAATTAATGGATCAGCTATACAGAAAAGCGCTTCAATAAATTGTACCGTCCCACCCACCCCCGGGCACATTGTTGTCCAGCTAGTGCTTTCACTTTAACATATGATTCCACATCAACACTGTTCAGGGGGGGTAGGGAGAAGTACTTAAAGTACAAATTATATTTTGGGCAAATTACGCCGACAAAGTGCATTTGCCAAGATACATTTTGCGCAGTGATCAAGGGCGTAGTGATAGGGTTTAGTTTCAAAGACAACTACTAGGTGTCTATCAATTTATAGAGGCCGCCGCTTTATAAAATCAGTTTGTTGTTGAATAATATAAACAATAGGCATTTAAAATCACAATTTTCCTCGGTAACTGGCTGGATTCTCCTCAAAAAATTTCACCTGTTAATGTCGCTCTTGAACTGCGTTCATGGGCGAGTATTCGTTTATCGGAACATTCACTTTCCGCGGCAACTATATCGCAGTATAATAACCGCGATTCAACTGCTCTATTGTCTAAATATAGTAATACGAGTCATATCTTGTTCATTGCCTTACCGTCATCATCGAGTGATCGTTGAGCATAACGACCCTTCGGCCGCCTTCGATATGCCCTGAGCTGAATGGTTTCCATAGTTACAAAATACGTTACCAAGACAACCAATAGAAGTAAGTGTTTAGTAGTCATGGTTATCTAAAGAAAAATCATTGGATTATCAAAGAAATGTTTATTTGTAAGATCAAGAAACTCCTCATCAGGGATTGGCCGATAAGAATAGTCAGTTGAATAGTACCGGAAGCAAACTGCAGTCTCGATATAACGGATACCTTGAGGGCAGTAATTAAGCATTCGTAATTAATTACGAGTCTCCGCTGTAAAGCTGTAATGATAATTATTTTCGTTATTTAGCGGAGATTGTTGACTAAGGTCCGTAAATATGGACTGTCGGTAATGTCTAGGGTTTTCGACGAGACTTGACACGATCGAGACTTGAAAAGGCCTATTGATCGTTTTCAACCTTCCCATAGATTCAAAAGATGAACGACCGGCGGCCATATTGAAAGGAATGAAAAATTGATACTAATGAGAAATCCTTTGTTGAATTCCCTCCAAGATGGCCGCTGTGACGTAACTTGAACACGAAGAATAAAGAAAGGAAGTTGTCAAACGACGCAAAGCGTGAAACGAAGATACACAATTCTGCATTTTTATTCGTTAGTTTTTGTCTTGAGATTTAGATTTTTACTAGAAGAAAATATAGAATCAAAAATAAATTGGATGACGAAAGATCACACGGTAGAGCACTCATTTGAAACCTCGCAGAAGGAATGGAAGGCCTATAGTGGATAAAACCTGATCCCAAATTAAACAGAAGTTAAAGACGAATAAAAATCGAAAGTAGACTGAAAACATCCATGAAGTAAACGAATAAAAATTAAAATTAAAAATGAAAGAAAACCAAAAATTAAACCTATATCAAGCTGACAACGAACTGAAAGAATTATTAACAACTTGACGTGTTTATATAGATCTAGCTATAAAAAGAGAACGAATTCCAGTCTTGAGACACGAAATGGTCCATACGTTTAATTAATTAATCATATCTCAGTAATTAACGATAACTCTTCTAACAAATGTTATAACGAGTTTATACATTTTTTAGTATGTATTTCATTCGCACAGTTGTCAATACGTTTGAAATGTCAACATTTTATATTGAAGACAGACGTTTTGACTATTGAGACGTTCTTAATAAGAGTTACATAAAAAGAAAACGTGCCGCAAAATGGCTCGCATTAAGCAATTCATGCATAGAGGCCCATCATGAACTCTTCGATTATATGTACACATGTTTTTTGTGAGAACAAATGTTCACGCAGTTATTTGGAAGTCTATACTGGTGAGATTGGTATAATKAGTACTTTTTWWTWRKTKKWARGSYTKGCACKCGTCAAAAACGTGTATATTGCCAGACTAGATAGTGCTGTCGGTCTTTGAAGATGCGATAACTTTTGAAAACTTAACTTGCATTGAAGCGCTTAAAACAAAAAGGATGAAAAAGAGCATTCCTTTTTCTAGSATAGATTTAGCACGACTGATCGAGAACGGTCGAGAACAAGGATACACTTGATTGTGGATCTCCCGTATTAGCGCGCGCGCTTTGATGTTATCTATGTAGCACGAAACTCTACTTTTTCGAGACACATACATTGAATAAATGAAAAAAATTCTTATACTTATAACATCCTCACCTTTGAGATGCTGTTAGGACAACAAGCACGTGCTACCATGAGAAGTAGGTTTTAGTTTGTGAAGATTTAGCTATACTATAACGTGCTGACGTCGGACTGCTGTGCTATTACGGTGTTAAGAGGTATTTCGGTGTATCTAAGTGTGTATTAAAACGTAAACGCGGATAATCACCCTTTCTTCTTATTCTTTCAATGTATTCTCAACACGCGTAATACGTAAGCTTTGAGTGTTGATTATTATGATCAATGCGCGGGTCGCCTGTTTGACCATTGTATTAGGCAATACACCACTTCAAACTTATTTGCACATTTTATACTTTGTTAACGGCTTGGGTGGAGGAAAAGGAAGGTAAAACTTCTTTTTTCACCAGGACAAAATGAGAGAGACAAGCTGATTTTCACCAGGACAAAATGAGAGAGACAAGCTGAGGTTAAGTAAAAGTCTCAAGGGGCCATTAAAAGCTAGCAACTGTATCATGAATGTCAGTATTAATTCCCTAAAACTGTACGTTAAGTCGTGATGGTCTAAATCTGAAGGATTTCCCCAGTGCTTTCATATGATTTTTAAGATAATAAATAACTTTTAGGGCCGTACAGTTGATATTTTATAAGGTGACGAAGGAAGGTCAGTTTTACAATTATCGGGAAAGCGCAGTATATGTTGCGCGGGAAACAAATGAAACGAAATGAAACATGGCTGTCGTGCGTTCATTATGAAATGAAAAGGTGCTAACCTTTCTTTCATTTAGTAGTGACAAATGAACGATATGTCCAATATAAAATAACAATAATCACCAATTATATAAGTCATAAAAGACGCTGAATAGTGGAGGCTAATTATACAAAACGAAGCTCTTTTCAATACCATCCATAAAGCATGCCACAATTTGAACGATATCGATTTTAGTTTGTCTGTTTTCAATTTTATATTTTCTTTGGTAATTTTCTTCAATTTGCTTTTGTAAGCATGGATTAATTTAGATAATTATATTGATTGGAAAAGAAAAAAGAGAACAACTAAGACCGCGCTTATCCGTCAGAATTGTCCACAATTTCGACAGTGAACGCCTTTATTCAGTTGTCCGACAACCTGGTAGCGGGATGAAGTGGATGGTCATTCCAAAGGCAAACTTAATTGAAACTTTAAAGATGTTTGTTCGGTATGCAGGATAGCGTGGTCGACGCCGGAAGATATAGCTTTACAATTCAGTTAGTCAAAACTCCAAGTGTATTCGGATCTTAGCACGATCATTCGCTTATCCGACATACCGATCATTCATAGATACAACAATCGTCAACGCAGCGTGARACGTTTTTAGCTCAAACATGGATAGTAACACAAAGAAATATTATGACTTTCTTTGACTTAACCAGKATAATTGCATGCAAAGCGCTATAGTTCAGTGAATAATTTCTTCAAAAAATGGGCACGGAGTTTTTCACGAACCGAAAATGRTACGTTAAAAAAATAGAAAAGCTAGAAATAAAGAAAACTTTGAAAGAAGCGAAAGTAAACGACAGTACCTTATTTACTAAAGGTAACACTTAGATAATAATAGAAGATAAGATTTTTAGCTTGCTTTCACAATATACACCGAGAATTWACCGCAGAGATTTCAAGACTTTTCTCAATATAATTTTCCATAAGGGTGTTCAAACGTACTGAAGAGTTCAAAACGTTCAAAAGGCATAAAGAAAACTCATTTTGCATTATTTAATGGCGCATAAGTGCTCAACCGGTATCAATTTATCAAAATTTAGGAAGCCATATATAAGAGTTGGCATACAACCACACGGTCATATCAAGAGGCTATACTTTGGTCTTGACATTTGAAATCATCCATTTTCAAAAGCGTTCCATACCATGATCGCACAAATCCTTGATACATTATGCCAAAATTGATTAAAAGACCAAAATAAGCTAGAGGTTACGGTTATAAGGGACCTACCTTTGAGTTTCCTTGATTATTAGTATGTTGTCAGCTCGCGTCGACTATCAATAAAATGTTGAAAGTTAACGGTTTTTTATATACATATCCCTAGATTGAACCAACCCAGCTGCCGCGAAACGAATTGCGTGGCCTCGCAGAAACAGGATGTTTGTTTATATCCCGTTGAGTGACTCTTAACCGTTTATTCTGTCTCTATCTCCCGAGTTGTCATTATACGATCAACCAATCAGAGGAGACCAATGGGGCTGTACCCCACAGACCCTGCAACCTCTGGTGTTCCAATTATCCGAGCAYCCAGACTATAGGAAGTAAGCGAAGCTCAATTTCCGAAACATGTTAAACAACCAGTTTGCGCTTTTAGATTCAATATATTTAATCGATTAGAGAAACATATATTTGTTTAGAAAGCGTTGTCGTATGCTAATGGRTATATGTTATCATTTCCATTCCACCTGTGCTTGGAATCGGGTCTTTAATGTACGGGCGTGTGRTAATTGCTATAGCTTTGCGCTCCTAGGTTTCTCAAGTGTTCTAATTTTTATTCTGGTCGTAATCGTTGTCTTTTAAGCTGCTTTGTAAAATTTTTGCTTCCTAATTGACTGGATTCAAGGCGATTGTCATTGAAAGCGAAGCCGTCCTGAGGAAGTATTAATAATTTTCCTAAATACATTTGGTACATGAAAAAGTGTATATCTTTCATAAGAAACCCTGTTTTTTGTTATCAACGAAGAAAGATTGTAAATGAGTCTATTTATTCACAGCTTGAAATTGAAAGCTACCAATGACATAAAATCAAATTTCTATTTTCGTGAATCGATTCAAATTGAACCCTCGTGGAACATCAAACTTGACGACCATGGTTAATTGCTCTTTTCTTTTTTTTTTAATTTTTTTTCTTTTTTTCGTTTTCGCATAAGAACAACTTTTCACAATGTTTTGAGATCAAAATTAGATCAAAGCAATGTCAAGATACCACAAGTTTAATATATAAAACTTCAATAATTTACAAATATATATGTACACTTTCGGCAATTATTCACATTTACAACATCGACTATTCTTCGGAAAACACACGGATCCTCTTCGGTACATTACTGATCTTCGGGAACTCCTCGTTCACTGAGCGAGAGAGTGACCTTACGAAGAGCCTGCTGTGCTTGAGGAAACTCTTGGTTCAGCTTATCAACAATCGTCATAAGCGACTGTAATCTGTCTCGCTGTTTTTGCATCTCAGTTTCGAGTGATTCTGGTGTTTTGCAAAGGGAGGTATATCGGCCTTCTTTCAACTGGTTGTAGTACTTAACTTTCTGTTGCATTGAGACGATATCCGCTAGATTCTAAATAAGATAGACATATATCGTAAAGCTATGATTATGACAAACYGAAAAATATGAACTTATTACATAGATTTGTACACTAATTTCCCATCTTCTTCCAGTTATAACACTTATATCAATATGTTAGGAAAGTGTCGGTCAATGACAATCAATCATATTACTCTAAATTACAACTATTTCAGCGCATAAAGCAAAAAAATAAATATTGGATGTATTGATGRACCTAATTGAACTAACATTGTCGGGTTACATAAAAGAAATATCATCGAAGCTTACAGCGAAGGGGAATTAGAAAGTACTCAGAAATTCAAACACTTGAGCTTAGTTACATTATAGCATTGCTAGTAGAAAAGTTCATTTTATTCAGTGCAGACAATCTTTTTTGACACTGAAACACTGTTTTACTCATAATATTTGCTCATGTCATTTTCTGTCCAAGATGTTATGATGTAACCTAGAACCTGTCTACGACTTTTCAATTAATTGCATAAAGATAACGGAATTGCTCTGGTAATTTTCACCATTTCTGGGGGAAAATTTTAACAACAGTTCGAGTGAATATTTTTAGATTTTTTGTTTTATTGATWCTGGTACTTTTATAATAAACGGAATATTTTAGTAGCTTTTAAAGGCTGTCGTCCTATATTGAACATCTTGATGGCGCAGACACTCAAGATGAGATACCATCAAGTTGCATCTCTGTGCGGCATTGTACTTATCTCTTTGTTAGTAACAGCGCCGAATAAAACTAAAACAGTCTCACAGATGCTGTGCTAATGTAGCTTGCAAACACAGCGGTTTAACAACAGGCCATTTTTAAGAACGCCATGTGGGCCGGGTTGTTGTGCAAGGTACATTGTATAAAGGACAAGTAATTTTGAAATGATGACTTTTCACCAGTACATTCTACATTTYGGACTACTTATGAGAACTTAGCTACAAGTTCCGAAGGGAAGGGAATAATAAAAAAGAAAGGAAAAAAAAAAGAGATTGAAAATATGTTTGGATCAACCAATCATATGTCATTAAATTTGCTCTGTTTTACGATACTGCACAGTTTGGGGGCGCTATTTGAAGCACGAACAGACCAGAATGATCATTTTTCATAGGTTTTAGTGCGCAATGGTTTGGATTAACAGTCCATCATAATGTTCCTTAGGCTTTTATGACAACCATATGGCGAAATTACAATACGAACTGCATTATTTGTTGTACTATGGAATTTTTCATTACATAAAGTGGACCTGGACAATTAGATAATGAGAATATACGACAGTACTATCACGCACAAATGTCTTTTTGATAGTCACTGTCTTTTAGGGTTTTTTTCATGATTAAAAACTTCTAATGAAGTTTTTCACGTAACAGAGGCAAAGATCACGGAATACACTTTTTTAGGTGACACAAATATATATTTAACTTGTGCATTATCAAAGAAGTGTCATTGTACTTCTATTTAGAATGAAATTTAGAATAAAATAATATTTCCTACAACATATACATGTATATTGTACAAGAAAGTAAAGCAAACAATGTTTTTTTTTGACATTAAGTATATAGTAGAAATGTTCAATGCAACAACGGAGCTTATAGCTGTAAGGAGTGGGACTGGTGACAAAATCAGCTTCAAAAACAGTGAAACAATTCTTCCGTCGTCACGTGATCAGAGCCTTTCACGAATATAAACAAAATGGCGGCTAGTAGCTACGAGTCACAATATTAATATGCTTTTTGATAAGAGGATTGAGTCCAGGCAGAGGTGCGCCAATTAAGAAAAGATTATATGCGTAYGTGGACKGCGTGGCACTCGTTAAGTTTGAATGCCAGCGAGRTCGGAAATAWATTTTTCGGTATTCATTCATCCAAGGGTATTTCGCCCAGATTAACCTTCTTCACCAGCACTATAACTGTCTATCATTTCTATTTCTATAAAAGATTATTTGAGTTATTGTTTGCTTACTCGTTGACGATCTTCAGCCATTTTATCGATATCTGTTTCCAGTTCTTCGACTCGGCTTTGGAGTTGCTGACACGTGACTTGCTTTTCTTCGAGGTCACGACTGACGTGTATTTGGCTTTCTCGAAGGGCTTGTATTTCTGGGAATCAAAAGAAAGAGATGAAAAATAWATCGAGATAAAAGGAAAYATCGTACATTTTKGGGGGGATGGGGGTKGGGTGATAATTTGTGGTTTCGTTCACAKATTTTCTGTTACGTGAATGCTCATTGCAGTGGGGTTTTCGCAAAGTAATTTTGATTCCGCACAAGGTGTTAATAATACAATGCCACAGTGTTGTAGCTTGTGTTCTAACTCACCACCATCACAGTCATTTGCATCATTGTTTGTCTGTTTGATTTTCTTCTTCATCTCAACGAGTTTCTTCTGTAACGACCCTTTTGTGTTGACAGTTTTGCCCATTTTACTTTGTGCRTCCCCCCTGAAACAGACAGATTTCAATACTCATTTCTATATTACGATTTGAGGAACGCGTGTTTTTTTTCAGAGACAGATAGTGATGATGTCAATAATCAACGGTCTATTGTGACGCACTAGTTACCTAGTGATAATAGTTTACTGTGACGTAATCTAACTAACAATAATAGCCCATTGTGACGTAATGCCTTACGAGTGAAAAATCATTTTTGTGACGTAATATTTGGCTACTGGCAATTGTAACGCAATATCTTGCTAGCAATAATTATCTATTGTGACGTAATGTTTCGTGATAATTGTCTATTGTGAAGTAATTGTTACCTAGTGATAATAGTCTCTCTTCGTACGACTGTCTTCTCCATATCCTGGATCATTTTCTCCTGTTGACGCATCAACTGGGAATAGCGAACCTGTTATAAAATGACAAAGAATTAACAAAAAACAACCACAAAAACAAAAACATATAAACAATACTAATTAACGATTAAAATAATGCGTTAAAGTACTAAATAATGACTTATCTATGGTTCAGTGTTTGGCGTACCTCCATACGATGTATTTCAGCTTTCATAGAATGAATTTCACCTTGGCCGTAGTCCGCATCCACGGCATTCTTTGCTTCACGGGCTAGCTGTGTCTTTTTCTCCCATAGCATGATTTGCCGCCTGGAAGAATGTAAAAACAACGTGAGGACAGACAGACAAAAAAAAGGGACAAGTACATTTGACAAGCAAACAGTCAAAGCACAAGAACAAAACAGAGCCAATTATTACAAATGAAATTCTTACTCAGCTTCGACAAGACTGTTCAATAGACGTTCCTTTTCCTCGGTCAACGCCTCAATTTGTCCTTGCATTTCAAGGGACTCTCGTTCAGCTTCCTATTTACAAAGCAATAAGGTTGATAACTGAATGAAKAAATGAATGATGAGATGGAAAGTGAATAAAAGGATTGAAGGATCTTACGGAATGAATAAAAGATATTTCATAACTACATGTATGAAACTATACTATTTGAGGGACTAGTTTCAATAGTCAAGAGAGAAAAAACGAATGGCGAATTGTACATCGACGTTTATCGAAATGATTCCGAAAATCATCCGAGACGTGTATCTGGACTTGTTCCGAAAACTATAGTACTTGCTTGCTAAGTCCTTACTGCGCCGTAATGGTTCTTCGTCTAGCTAGTGACAAGAGTAATCTCAAAAATTTGAGCTTGTTTCCTACTGTAAATATAACTTAGCACAAAAATAAAGTTGGGAACTTGGTCTGGATACTTACCCGTAGCGACTGTATGAAGTCACTTTCCATTAAAGTGTTTTCCTGTGCTAAGTTCTCCTTATAGCCATGTTCTTTAGTGATCAATGTGTTTAGCTTGATCATGTCATTCTGCATGTTTCGAATGTTACGATTGATGTCTGCTATTTCATTATTGTGGGAGTTGATTTCACCTGTTAATTAAAACGAACAAAAACTTGCACTGTATACTTTTTAACGTTTATCCTTTGAATATGGTAACTGGGAACTTGTGGGAATTAAATGACAATGAAAATGGAAGAAAAAGAGAAAATGGATTGAAACAAACGAATAAAGTAATAAATAACAGACCTGTAAAAGCAAAGAAGAGAAAGGAAATGAAAAGGAAAGAGAAAAAAGAACGGGAAGCCAAGGGAAAAAACTGCGGACTGCATTTTCATGAGAAAGCATTTGAAGTATTATGATCACTCAATCACCTCACATTATTAAATTAAATGAATATGCACAAACCTTCAATCCTTAGTTTCTTCTGTTGTAGAATAGTATATTGTTTTTTAACGTACTCCATATCTTGGTTTTGTTGTTGCACATCTTTGATAGTTTTTACAAGTTCGCTTTGGCTTCTTAGCCAGTACTGCTGTAGCTGAATGATGTCGTTCATCCTTGCCTCGACCTGTTTTTGAAGTGTATGAATCTGAAGTTCCAAAGGCCCAAGCTCTTGGCCCTAAAAATCAATTGCAGTTTAGCTTAGTCAACTCGATCATTATAAAGGACACTTTCGGTATTGTAATTAAGTGTCCGCAATAGCGAGTGTCCGCTTTAAAGGGAGCTATTTTCAGTGCAGTCAATTTTCATTATAATTGACACCGAGTGTCTACTGTACACGGTTATTCATTGGATTTCCAAGTTGTACGGTGACTTTCAAAAAGATAGTATGTGCTCACATAAAAAACAAAGTTTTTCAGTGCTATTTTTCAGTGCATTCAATTTTCATTATAATTGACACCTTCGAGTGTCTACTGTAAACGGGCTAATTTCTTGAATTTCCAAGATGCATGGTGACTTTGAAAAAGATCGCATGTGCTCACATAAAAAAAACAAAGTTTTTCGATCACTGTTGAGAATCTCCTTCATATTTTTTGCTAAAAAAACCTCGATTTCATGCGTGCGTCTGCGATCAGTATTTCTCAAATCGCCCGCGCTTCTTGGAATTACTTGAATCTCGTACATACCCCTGTACTACTCTTAATCTGATCGATTTTCTTGTTAAATTGATCAATAGTGCCTTGTTTCCTCTCAATCACGGCATTTCTTTTGACAATTTCTCCCTCWATTTTCGAGATGTCTTCATTCTTTTGGTGGATTTCGGCATTGAGCTGGTTCATGACGTCTTTGAGTTGCTTAATGCGCGTGTTGGCGTTTGTTATTTCAAGAACGTCGCGAGAAATTTCATTTTCAACTTCAGCTACCAGACTTTCCTAAAAAAAAATGAATACATTTACCCTTTTGAAATATAATATGATTTGCCCGGGGGAAGACTCCTTTATAAAAGTTGGTAGGTATGACCCTAAAAGGTACGCATAAAATAATTCAGGTATCGATTCCAGACCCTAAAAGGTACGACCATTTTTGACGTCTTTAACAAGAGAAAAGCTCAAGTTTAACAAACTGTAGAAAATAAATGTCGTAAGATTATTTGGATTAATAAAATTTCTTTATAACACTAGTTCAATTTTTTTCCCGTTGTTCGAAAATTGACCCTAAAAGGTACGGAGTAAGCTCAGGACCATAAAAGGTACGCGAGGGTTCTGTATCAAAAATGTTTCATTTTCAGCGTCAACTTGCCAACGCCCCACAACACGTACCAGTTCTGTAGCTCTTCGGCGTAATCTGTCTGTCATTTTCTTTGTRTATCGTGTTGCTTTGTCCATCGTCAGCTGGGTTCTTAGCTTTTCCATGATGGCATCTTCAAGACCAACTTTCTCTAAGAATTCGCGTTCGATTTGTTTTCTGAGTGCTGTGAGTTCATTTTCTTTGAGCACTACATCCTGTGAAAGTAAGGATGGAATGAATAAATGAATGGATGAGAAAGTGAATGGATAATTAGAATAATACTTGAATGGATATAGGATTGATAAATGATCAAATACATGTAGGGTGAAGATGGACACACAATGGACGAGAAAATGGATAAACAGAATGACTGAACAAACGGATCAATAAACCAGCAGATGCAGGATAAATGTATAATTAATTCAAAACTAAATTTCCAAGAGTGTCATTCTTACAGTCTGTGCTCTGTTCAGCTGCTGTTCAGTCTGATGTAGTGTTCTTGTATAGGTACTGTACTCTGTCTTYAGTGCTTCTAGCTTTGTCTTACTGATGGACATCAGTTTCTTCACAAATGAGATATCCCCTTCTATTTTGTTCTGTAAAAGTGTTATCTGCTCATTTTGTTCCTGTGCTTTGCTGATGGACTTCTTGTAACCTTCAATCTCAGTTTCAATGGCTTGGATACGCTGCCTTTGAAGCCTATGAACAATCAGAATTTCACATTAGTTACTGTATTAATTTCTGTTAATGGCTTTGAGTTTTGTGTATACAAATTGACACACAGAGGGTGAACATAGGTTGGAGACTTACGTCAAAGCCTCCTGCATAGCGGCATATGCTTCGTCTCTTCTTCTCATTCCAATCAAACTGCTATTCCACTGTTGCAGTAGCTGCTTCTGCTCCAAATGCAATGCCTGTAAAAATAATAATAATCTTATATGTAACAACTATGATCGACAATTGTATCTTTATAAATTATCATYATATCTGAGTACATAACTTTACATTGACAAATAAAAGAATARTCTTAATTAAAAATATTTGAATAATCATAATAATAATGATGATAATAATAACAATCATCATCGCCATCATCATCATCATAATGATATATAATAATTGATTTTTACCTCAATCTCTGTTAATGCCTCTGACAGGTTTTTCTGAGCAGCTTTAGTCTCTTCTGATTGGGCAATACACTGAGCCTCATACATATTGATTTCCTCACGGAGATGGTCTACTCTCTGGGTCAACATATCAACTAACAAGTCCTGCTTCTTCTTCTGACTTTCTGCCTTCACAACCTCCACGTCAGCTTTTTCTGCTGCCCTCCTCATTACCGCAATATCTGAACGAACATCTTCTTTTGCTTCTTCCATGTAATGCAATCTTGCTGTGATGTTTTCTACCTCTGTCCTTAGTTCAATTGCTATAAATTTGTGAMAAAATTGAAGTTAATGTTTTTGAAGTGCCTACCCTCAGTGTGATGTAAAAATTCATTAAGAAACTCCAATCTTAGTAGTTAGCATCCGGATTTCATATTCAATAATTACCTCTTTTCCTGTTGTGATTAAGATCGTCAATGATTTGTTTGTGTAGATCTTTGATTTCACTAAGTGAGAGTTCACATTGACCACGTTGTTGGTTTTCATTGTTAAAGATGTCATGTTCTTTCTCTAGRAGCATTTGCTGCCTGGCAAGCTCTTGTTGTACTCCGTAAAGCTGAACTCCAAGCTCTTCTCTTTCTCGTTTTTGAGTTTTCAGAGCTTCATCCTAGATTWATAGAGAAGTGTTGGTGTTAAACATGGTGCAAAAAGAGGTTKTTATCTCTCTCATATGAGTTCTAGACCATTACTGTATCAATAAGADCACAAATGACAACATGGACAACACAATAATCACTATTTACCAGTTCTCTTTGTTCAAGGACTAGTTTCTCTTCTTGTTTCAACAGATGTGCCTTGTATGCTGCTTGGAAYCKCATCATCARTGGCTGAAAATGAAAGGAAAGACATTAAAACATTGACAAACAACGTAAAATAGTATTAGAAGTACRGCAACATGAGCAACATCAAATGACAACAATTTGACTTATCCTTATGCAATACGTTGAAACTTTCATGACATAGCCACTTCTCAAATAATCAAGTACTGATAAGACATGTACAAATGTACAATRAAGTACTCACATGATCTGGATCAAGTACAACCATCTCACTTTCACCTTCCGAGTCATCGTCGCTCAGGTTGTCTTCATGGCCGGCCTCTTCYTCTCCTTCGCCAGCATCGCCATCGTCTGTATCAGCRATACCGGCACCAAAGTCTACATTATCTGATAAAAGTGTTTGTCCACCTTCTGGKAAACCAAGGCTGGGYAAATCCACGTTAAAGTTRGCCGTAGGGACGAGACCTTCACTCTCGCCACCGGTAACAGTGGTGTCTCCATCAGCATCGCTCGGGTCACTCAAACGAAAGTCTTTCAAGGCTTTTACCGTTAATTTACTGACTGCATCTCCCATAGACTTCTTTGAACCGCCAGATTCTTTAGAAACAGCCGATGCAGGCCTCTGTTCGTCTTGTTTTTGCCCCTCTTTCTGTTCGCCATTTTGRTTGTCCGCCATTTTCTTCTTCAAAAATAAAACTCTGAGKAAGTTGTCATAGCGACAATTTYATCCTCGTTTTGATACCGAGGTTTGGCGAATCCGCGATACAAACCGCTGTACCTGACGTCACTCGAGTACCTTTTAGTACAGTTTCCGTCAAAGATGGCAGACAGGAGATCGAATTTTGGATGATATTATTTTGATATTTTAAGCGTTTTAGATTCCTTMAAAGCCCAAATAATGGGCGGACTATTTAGTAGTAATGTCCAGGGAGTCGAGGAAGTTGATAGTTTCTCATCAGCCTCTTACAGATACCCACCGCCATCAGGTAAAAAGTCTTGTTTTGAAGTGAATTTGTGCTTCGTCGCCACTGTTTTCATATTCAAAGGTACTCACATTCTTGGCTTTCAGGCAGTTATTTTGCTGATCACTTTATAATGGGAGGGTCAAGATTCGATACAACACAGCCAGAAGCGTATCTCTTTGGTGAGAATAACGATCTAAACTACTTGAGTCCCAAACCAGTTCCCGTAAGTAAAACACAATACTTTATTTACTAGCTAATAGATTTGCGTGTATTACTGACAACACTCGAACGCTGATAAGCGATTGAGATATTTTGTTGTCCATATGTTCAATTTTATCTTTGATAAGAAGTGGTATTTACAATAGAAATGCTTCAAGGTGATTGTATTGTTTTKAGAAGCTCTATTTGGTGTGTAATTTATCGCTATACAAGGGTTTTTTATTTACCCTAATGTCAGATGAATTTGAAAGGTKTACAAATTTATTAGGTTCTTTACACTTTTAAATATTGTGTCTGCTTGGAAACAACGTTGAAACGAATTTTTGTTGTTATGTCTTTAGATTTTATTAATAATTTTAACCATATAATATGAATTCCTTATTTGTTTTTATTATAATCATTCCAGTTTCCTTATCCTTCTTCTCATGGCAATGAACCAACAAAAACTCTTCGAAGTCTTGTAAACCTACGGAAGGATACTCTCAAACTTGTCAAGTAAGCTGCAATTGTAGTGACTTGTATTGTATTTATAATATATGATAAAGAAATAAGCCTTCAGGACTTGCAAATTTAATGATCTTCAACCATTTAAATCTATTTATGCTAAAGATTTATAAGATAGGGAACTATCTAATGAGATACTACAGATATCAGCCTATTGTAGTCGTTGGTATTAAGTTTCCTACACAATACTATCATTTATTCAAAACATACACATTTGAGCTAMGGTATGGACTAATTCTTCATATCATCTTGACTTTGCCATGCAACAATATTTTCCTTGTTACACTCTGACATTACACATTGTACAAAGATATCTTGTCTTCCTCTGCGACATTATAACACAACTATTATATAACACAAAGAACTACATCACAATATAAACTTTTTAGACACCATGCTATTCAAATCAGCATGATTTCTTTGGATTACACTCACTTCAGGAAACACATATACTGTAATTATCAATTCTTCATAATGATTCCCAATCAAATTRTTTTTACATCTTACCAATTATTTTTCGGACATGATTTTTGTAAACAAGTGTTTGGTCTGAAAAGAATAATGAACAAGATYGTATTATTCTGCAAAAATATATTGGATGAGTTCAGTATGATATTTTATATATTAAGCAGACCAGCTGATAATATACTCTGGTTTGAATAAATCCAAGAAAACATATGTTAGGAAAAGATGATATTAACTTTATATGCTTTACTATTGACATTGGGATTCATTAAAGTACCATGTTGAAGTAAAGTTAAAAAGGCAATTCAAGCATTCTGGATGGTTTCATAAATCATAAGTTCCAATCCTCAGTTCCATGTATGGTTATCAGAACTTTTTAGAAACAACTTGCCACCAATTTGTATACAATGATAAATATCTATCTATAAATGTTTTTGTTATTGTTGATGATTCCTACATGTACCTATAGCATTTTTATTCATTTTTTATCCCTTTTCTTAGGTGTGATGATTCTGGTGATGATGAAACGTACCATATCCAGTTTGTCTTTGATGCAGATGTGAACTGTTCAGTAACCATTCATTATCAAGCAACAGAAGACTTGTCTACTGGACTAGCAGTGTAAATACACTTAAAAATAATAAAATAGTAATTATAAAGAACAAAAAAAAATCAATAAACTCATTAGAGTGCATATATTTGTTGGATGACAAAAAAATTTATGGAAGATTCGTACAAAATCCTAGTGTTGTTAATTGTTTAATCAATGTATTGTAATAATATATATATATTTTTTTGTACAGAGTTTGCTGAAGAAGGCCGAAGTGCCGAAACGTTCGAATAAACGTAGAAAACCTAGTTACAAGTTGCGTGGCTTTTTCTTCAATTTATTCTATTTATATTTTTTTGTACAGCTATACATCTAGGGACCAAAGTTCAACATCAAGAAAATTTTGTTACAAAAAGGGAGCTGGTCAGCAGTTTAGCCATTCCACACAGCACAGGTTCAGAATAAGCCAGTTTAATGAAGACGAGGTAATGGTACGGTCATGTAGTTCATTAACATACTAGATAAGAATTTTGTAAAGCAAGATTTACTGAAAACTGTATGAGTGTGTATTTGCAGTGGAAAGATTAATTTTATATAAGTTGGAAAATGAAAAAGACTGGTACCTTGTATAGTTTGAAGTTATTAATTTTTATTTTTGATATTTTTGATGCAGCTCAACTATAATCCACTTTCAAGTAGTCATATTCCGATCGTGATTCAAATTGACGTCGATGATGAAGGTACTAAATAAGTTTAATAAATTAAAAAAGAGTTTGTTCAAAAAAKTTTTTTGATTTTKATTTTTATTCTTTTTTCTTTGATACTTTCTTTGTTTAGAATTCCTTGGCCATTCTCACATCACAATGGCTACACTGGAACACATGTCAGACGGATCATACATTATAAAACCAATTAAACAGAAACAGATGGTAGGGAATCTTTTAACTTTTCATTTATTGTTTCTGCGAACATGAATTTGCAACCTGCATTAAATTGTATCCCTGCATTTTGTTTACAGCTCATGATTTGCTTTATTGAAAACTTATACGTTTTTTGAATAGCATGTGAGCTGATGATTAAGTTTCCCTATTGAAATATATTTTCATTTTTGTCATTTAAAAGGTTGATGGGCTGTGYTTYTTGCTTCAAGAGATATATGGTATTGAGAACAAGGCCATGAACAAYGAGGGCTTCAAGGTACGTCAGAAAGCATTTTCAGAACTTCATGTTTTATGGCGAAAGGTCCACATAACTTAACTAATATAAGGTAAACTACAAAATAGTTCTTTTTTAACCATTTTTTTCTTTGTCTTCCTTTATTTCAGGGTGATGATGATGATAATGAATTAGATGCAGAGGAAACTGGACTGGAGTGCGTAATATGCATGTGTGAGATGCGTGACACTCTCATTCTACCGTGTAGACATTTATGCTTATGCAGAGCTTGTGGTGAGTTGGCTGTAGCCTATTCGACCTGCATACATCTCTATTCCTTTTCTTCTAACTACTCTTGGGATTCCTGTGTTCCACGTAAGACCTCAAGGATTCCAAAAGTAATTATGATAACTTTCTTTGCAGCTGATTCTCTACGCTATCAATCAAGCAATTGTCCAATTTGTCGATCAGGTAAGTCTTGTACCATGTCATTCATTGCATTATTAGAAAAAAGCCTTTCTTGATTCAAGGATTTTTTTTTCTTTTGTAGCTTTCCATGCTT